GTGGCAAGTGTGTTAACCACTGAGCCACCTCCACAATCCAGCATGATTATCTGGTACCTGTGAACAAACAGGAACTCATTGCCTGCCTCAACAGAACTTAGCTTTATCTAAGCTGAAGAAGTAAGGTGACAAATGAAAAAGAAAGTCGCCTAGTGGAATCCAAATAACAGCAGTGACCGCTGTCCTGCACACCAACAGTAATGATGACAGGAAGTATGGCGACTCTCACATACTGGTGGAAGAAAACACTCGCTCTGTGGAAAATAACTGACATGGGCCGGGACAGTGCCCATGGGAGGTTTGGCTCCTAAGCATGTACCTGAAGCACCCCTAGAATAGGCACAAGAGAAAGAGGCATGTGAAAACCATCACAATAGCACTGCTTTCAATCGCAAATTTCCTTAAAACATCAGCACTGCAGAGTCCAGAAGTCCATCAGCAGCTGACTAAAAAGCCATGTGTAACAATGCACCAGTACAAACTAGAGCATATAGATGAACTGTTGCTATACTCAACGAGGATGGGAGACAGCTGATCTCTCACAGCCCGAAGTATTTCCCATGTATTTCTTGTGTTTCATAAATACACATACACAGGAGAAGACCATTAAGTGAGGAAGCTAATAAACTCATGGGGGTAATCTACGGAACGGGGGTTTCTTACCAGTAGTGTTCTATTTCTTAAGATATGTGCTGTTCAAGTCGGACTCTTACCACATTCAACATAAGGGGCAAAGGGTTTATTCAGCATACACTCCAGGTCATCACTGAGGCAACTTGAAGCAGAAACTGTGAAAGAAAGCTCCTTGTTGGCTCCCTTCACAGGAACATGCTTAGCTGGCTTCCTAACAGAGCCCAGGACCACCTGCCCAGGAATGGTGTCCCCCACAGTGCGCTATGCTCTCCTACATCAATGAACAGGCAAGATAATTTCCCACAGACATGTCCCCAGGCCAATCTGATGGGGGCAATCCCTCAGTTAAAGTTCCTTCTTCCCAGATGACTCTAGCTTGTGTCAAGTTGACCACAAACACAAACTAACACAGCTGTCTCGGCCCACTGGTTTAGTGGTGAACTGTATCCAGGCTTCAAAGAAGGTACTAGGAGGACTCCTGGGACACGAGGCTCGGAAACACCCTTTCGTTCTGACAGGTGGTGTTCACAGATCTGACACAGAATGTTGTTGCTAGGATACAGTCAGAAGGGGCAGCCTCAGAATGAAGCCCATTGGTCCTTGATGACAAGATTGAAGTAATGAATTAAAGTTGCAAGGGCTTGAGACATGGCTCAACAGCTAAGAGCACCTGCTGCTCTTGCAGAGGACCTGAGTTCAAGTCCCAGCACCCACATTGGGCAGCTCACAACCACCTGGAACTCGAGTTCCAGGGGCTCCAACATCCTCTTCTGGCCTCTACAAGCACCCATGTACCCATGGCGCATATTCTCTCTCTCTCTCTCTCTCTCTCTCTCTCTCTCTCTCTCTCACACACACACACACACACACACACACACACACACACACACACACACACACAAATATTAAAAAATAAATAAAGTTGGACCCTTATTGCTTGCTTTTTCTGGTAGCTAATCTCAGTTTACTATTTGTTGTCAATTGTTGAAGGCCACTGAGGCCATGCGAACTGACTGACTGTTCACTGAAACCATGATAACTGACTGTCCACTGAGACCATGATAACTGACTGTCCACTGAGACCATGATAACTGACTGTCCACTGAGGCCATGTGAACTGACTGTCCACTGAGGCCATGATAACTGACTGTCCACTGAGGCCATATGAACTGATTGTCCACTGAGGTCATGATAACTGACTGTCCACTGAGGCCATGATAACTGACTGTCCACTGAGGCCATGATAACTGACTGACTGTCCACTATACTTTCTATTCCTGTGATAAATGTCATAACTAAAAGTAACCTGGGGAGGAAGAGTTTATTTAATCATATTTGCCATAGCCCATCATGAGGGGAAGCCAGGGTGGAAACTAAGGGTGGGAGCTTGGATATAGGAAATGACGCCAAGGCCAAGGAGCAGTGCAGCTTCCTGGCTTGTCCTCATGGCTCACTCAGCTTGCTTTTTCATAAAACCCAGGATGACCTGCCCAGGGGTAGATCTGCCTACTATGGGCTAAGCCCTCCTACATTAATGACTGGTCAAGAAATGTCCATACAGACTTTCCTTCTGGTGGTCAATCTGATGGAGGTATTTCCTCAGTTGAGGGTCTCTATTCCCAGATGATCCAAGCTTGTGTCAAAGTGACATGAAAAAACCCTAACCAGTACACCAACACACACACCCTAACCAGCATGCCAACACACGCCCCTAACCAGCAGCCAACATACATACCCTAACCAGCACACCAAAATATACACCCTAACCAGCACGCCAACACACAAACCCTAACCAGCACACCAAAACACACACCCTAACCAGCACACCAACACACACACACACACACACCATCAAGGTTTTGTTCACTGACACCTTACAGTATACTGCACTGTCCTGGTTGCAGATGATAAAAATAAATCTTGGAAAATCAAAGCAAATTACTCTGAGTTGCACATATGCTGAGCAGTAGATACTGGGGTGTCTGGCTCCATCCCTCCCACACCTACTGATCGCCTCTACATTATCATCTCTGCTCTGGTTATTAACTGAGACCGTCTCCCTTTATATCCATTTAGCTCTGCCTGCAGCTAACTCCGGTCTCTCCAGCTCCCCTACAGTGACGACTCTAAATCCAATTCAGCCCGTGCCAGTGAGATGAGCTCATGTGCAACCTAAATGCCAGGAGGAAACTACAAGGCATCTCCCAGGAACTGTGGGAGCCAAACGGGAAATTCCAGCAGACGTGACTAAGAGCTTGGTATTTGCTGTCACATCCCATGCTTTCAAAGAACGAGTCCATGGCAGCAGCAGGGGCCGCAGACATGGCCACAACACAGTCTCTTGACTCCAAATGAAATCTCCACTCAGCACTGCAATCATTCAACCTTGAGGTCAACAGTCCAATGGCAGCCTCCAAACTCTAGATTTTCCAAATATTTAATTCCTCATATTAAACCAACCTTCCAATCAGCATGCCTAAAATGATTTCCCTTTCTTGAATCAATAAATCTGGAATTCAGCGATTAAGCATCAGCTTCACTACTCACTCATTTGAATCCCCTAGAAAACTAATTTTTACACCATAAGCTATACATCTTCGTCTTGAGAGTATATGCAGTTAATCCACATGTTCCTCTTCTTTCCCATATGTATGAGAAGCACCTGAGAAGCTTCCAAGGGGATAGCATACTCACCGTGCAAGGAAAGAAGGGCTCTCTTCTGTCTTCCCTCAGTAAACAGAAAATGAAGGCCACGGATTACCAGTCCCACTCCCTGTCGCAGCTAATCTGAATTCTTTTTTTTCTTCAATAATTTTTTTTATGTTCATTGGTGTTTTGCCTGCATGTAAGTCTATGTGAGAATGTCAGATCTTGGAGTTACAGACAGTTGTGAGCTGCCATGTGGGTGCTGGGAATTGAACCCGGGTCCTTTGGGAAAATAGCCAGTGCTCTTAACGGCTAAGCAATCTCTCCAGCCCCCTCATATGAATTCTTACAAGAGAGACATTTCTCTTTTGTAACTTTCATCAAGAGTGCAGTAGGCTAAGGTTAGGCTGTAGGAACCCCGGATTGAACTCAGATCCACAGACTTGGCGTCAGGTCCCATTGCCTGCTGGCCATCTCACAGCCCATCTGAAGGCCTCTACTGAAATAACTCAGACAGCCATGTTTAAGTCAGATGAGAAGCAACACATATAAAATATGACGTTTCAAAAAGAAGAGGTATTGTAATTTGTGAAAGCATAGCAACCCGTTAATACTATGTCAGGAAGTGCAATCTTACAGAACCTAGATCTTACCATCCAAATGCTGACTGAGTCCCAGATTTGCAGCCTCAGGGAGCCTGGGGTTTTCCAAGCTTTAGCTTACTGAACTTAAAAAGGCAGCCTGATAGCCATCCCTAAAGCTTTCGTGACAGTTAGAAGGAGATTCCACACGTAACAATACCTGCTCTTTGGCATAGACAAGGGAAACACTAAACATGCCGACTTCTTCCTTACCTCAGAAATGAGCTATGGAAGAACTTATCCCCGCCCCATGGCCCTACCTGATCATAAAACAAATATGGACTATAAAATCTATATTCCACTAACACTTTCAAAATTTATAAAAGACAAAGTGAAGAATTACAGCTAAGCCACCATCCTCAGACCTGAAGTGGAATGCCACCTCTTCAACTCCACCTCCTAACTCCTCAGCACTTTTAATATCTAATATTAAAATTTAATTGCCACTTTCTGTGCCACCATTCTACAACCCGGAGTGCTCTGAGTATTCCCAAAGCTGCAGTGGGTGAGCCTCCCCACACCATTTACATTCCTGAAGATTAAAAACACCTGAGTGGGCCGGGCGGTGGTGGCGCACGCCTTTAATCCCAGCACTCGGGAGGCAGAGCCAGGCGGATCTCTGTGAGTTCGAGGCCAGCCTGGTCTCCAAAGTGAGTTCCAGGAAAGGCGCAAAGCTACACAGAGAAACCCTGTCTCGAAAAACCAAAAAAAAAAAAAAAAAAAAACACACCTGAGTAGAACGCCAGGCAGGCTTTCTGGAAACTACCAATTATGATAATTAGCTTTCATATAAGTATTACCAGGAAAACTGTTGGTTTCTTTATTTTTTAAGTGGGGACTGGATCCCTGGCTTAAGAGTAAGAGCAGCGACTGCTCTTCTACAGGACCCAGGTTTGGTTCCTAACACCCAAACAGTGGCTCGTAACCCTCCGCATCCCCAGTTCCAGGGGTATGGCGCCCCTTCTGGCCTGTATGGGCACTACATGCACGGGGTGCACAGACACACATGTAGGCAAAGCACTAATATACATCAATTAAAAACAAGGAATTTTCTTCCTAAAAGTGACCTTGACAACAAACCTCATTTGTCTCTTCACCTCCTTTGGCCTGTCCTTCACCAATCTCTCCATTCTCATAGCTGCTGCTCTTCTCAACCCACAGCTCGGATTTTTCCACCGTCAGTCGAAGTTGGTCGAGATCCGCCTTAATTTGCTTGTAGTTATCAACATCTTGGTTTGACACCAGTAGCTGCACCTAAACACAGAAGCATCCCTCAAAGCTGTGTCACAGCTTCCTGTATCCTGTACACCTGAAATCCTATCTTTAAACACTTATTAGTTGAAGTTCAACACTTACAGAACACTTACGGATATTTATGTGCATATTGACTGAAAACCTGCAAATATTCATGAACTCCAACCAAATATTCACCTGTCAAAAGGAATTCTTAGATGTGTACTCTCAAAAATCTTTCAAAATTCTGATAAGAAATTTAACATAAAAGTTTAGGGGGTTGGGGAAATGGCCCAGGGATTAAGGGCACCTGTGGCTCTTACAGAGGACCTAGGTTCAGTTCCCGGAACCCACATGGTAGCTCACAATCTCCTGCAACTCCAGTTCCAAGGGATCTGAACCCTCTTCTGGCCTCCATGGGTACTGCACACATAAGGTACATGTACTTACATGAGTGCAAACACCATACACAAACAAAAGTAAACAAATCTTTTACAAGCTAATCACTAATTTGATGGTTCAAGTTCATTTTTCTGAGGTTGTCTATACATGTATCTGTCTGAAAAGTCAAAACATAAAAACCCATGGAAGAAAACATTAATGGCTACAATATACATTTGCTAGTATAAACAGTTTCAGAACCTGAGAGGACCATACAATTGTAATTTATACATACTACATGGCACATACATGTAAAACATGTGCATCTAGATGATCACCATTTAACTCCTTCATATCTGTTAGCATCTTCCCAAAAAGCTTCCTAATACAGGTCCACACTCCACTAAACACAAAACATCAGTGAGATACCCATACATCCAAGTAATCATGAGAGATTAATGTGCAATCCAAACATCATGGGGAATAGACCGAATCTCCATCATGGGGAATGGGCTGGATCCCATCACAGGACAGGCTGGATCCCTATCACAGGATAGACTGGATCCCATCACAGGTAGGGGACAGACTGGATCTCCATCACAGGAGACAGATCAGATCCCCATCATGGGGGACAGACTGGATCCCCCATTATAGTTCCTTTCTTTCAAGGTTCAGCACTTTTTATCACAAGATATTTATTTTGAAGCTACAGCTTGCCAGATACATCATTAAATTCTGTAGCCAAAATAACAGCAGTGGCAACAAGACTTCTAATAGGTTACTGTTCCCTAGAACCTCCTAAATTTTAGAGTGTGTCATTTTTATAAAGACACTGACTGAAGATCCCTTGGGGGAGACTCATTCTAAAGCAGGTCCTGTCTACGCACAGACAAGATCACATCTATCTTTCAAAACAAAAATAACAAATTAGGTATTATATTGCATGCCTACAATTCCAGCACTCCAGTGGCAGAGACAAGGGGATTGCCAAGAGTTCAACGTCAATCTGAACAATATACTGAACTCTGGGCCAGCCTGTGCTACAGAGTGAGACCCTGTCTCAACAACAAGGAACAGGGTCTGAGGAACACAGCCTCATCTGCAGCTACCATCAAGCTGGGGTTACAAACACTTTCAGAACTCCAGGGCCCTCAGTCTTCAATGTTCATTTTCTTGGGTACAGAGCTGAGGACTGAACCCAGAGCCCACATGTGCTAGGCAGGCGCCCAGCAACAGCTCACCTGTTTAAAGGCCTGAAGCACTTCTGCTCTCTGGCTGAAGTGCTTGAACAACAGCTGCAGGGCTCCCGAGAGCAGCGGAGGGTAGTCGTGCATGATGAGGTGGATGAGGACCCGTAGGAATGTCCTGCCTCCTTCATCGTCAAGCTGAACTGGAGTTTTTTCCTTTCTGTGAAACCAAAAATTAATTCTAAAATAACACATCACATGATATCTATATTAAAGTCATTTCAACTATATGTGTTTTTAAACTTAAACCCTTGTTTTCTCAAAATAAGAGATGAGAGGAAGACATTGTTACTTCTTAATCTTATATAATTGATGATGTAACAATGACAAAGATGGTTCCTCAGCCAATCTCAAGAGTTAGTCACCAACACACAGGAAAAACAAGCGCTGAGTGATCCCTAAATCATTTTAATTGTTATCTAGCATATAAAATGATGGGTTTCATTATGACATTTTCATACATAGTTCTTTGTCCACTACCCTTTTTGTCCTCCTTGCTCTTCCACTCATCTCCTCATCCCTCAAAGATCCCCCTCCTGTGAAAGCATTTATTGACAATGTCGACCAATGGCCCAGAGCCCAAGAGATCACCACACGGCAAGTGGGGCGGGACAGTCACAAAGGCACAGCCATCACCACAGGGGCTCTGAGCACTTGGTAGCACAGTGGGACTGGGAACAGATTCCCCTGGGACGAAAGGTCTCTCTAAGGCATGTGCACTTGCTGATGGGCTGTGCTCCCGGAAGCAACCCTTACATGACTTTGTGGTTGAGTAAGCATTGTAGAGGGCATTGTGCAAGCCTACATGGCCTATCACGCACCTACGTCACGTAATATGTGTGGGTTACGTAGGTAGGGGAAGGACAGATATGATAGAGGGATGGATGATAGATAACAGATGCATAGAACACAGACAGTAGATAGATGCATACACACATGACTGACATGTAGAACTGACACACAGACAGAGAGGTATATGGCACATGACAGAGCCAGAGATGCATACACTCATAAACGTCATTGACAGACAAGATACATAAATATTCTAGATGACAGGCAGATACACAGATGACTTTAAAATGATAGCTCTATACAGAGATATAAATAGATGATACATAGATGACAGATGATAATGTATTGATTCTAGGATCACGATGAACAAGGTAGCACAAGGGAAGTGATGCAATCAGGAGACAAGGGGCATGAGCTGCTGCTGATCACACACATGCACACACATGCATGCACACATTCTCTCACATATACACACTCACACATACATGTACTTACACACGTGCACACACTCACACATACATAGACACATACATACACACTCTCACACATGCATGCACACATTCTCTCACACACTTACACACATGCATGCACACATTCTCTCACACACTTACACACATGCATACTCTCTCACACACATGCATACTCTCTCACACACATGCATACTCTCACACACATGCACACATGCATTCACACATATCCACACACATGCACAGACATACACACACACACACACATCAAAATTATAGTTAAGAGTATATTCACTACATAAGCAAGTAACAGTCACACTCAAGTACTCCATTCTACCTGTGACCACATGTGCTACACACTGACACAGTTGGCTGTGTGGCACTGTCCACAAGCTCCTCCACAGACACCACACTAACACGCTGCACTCTTGACAACTGGATGGCTGTGAAGTCCCTGGTCTCTAGGAACTTTTCAGTTCTTGCCATTTTATAGAACACAGTTCTATCATGGATCTGTCACCTGGAGCCGTCAATGGCCAAAGTGACATTATGCAGCTCATGTCTGTGTGTTAAGATAAGATCATAGACTGGCTTTACCTTTCTTCCCCAGAATAATAAGTATTTCAATAGGAAATCATAACAATAGAACAATAAGGCTATACAAATGTTCACTAGATGATGGATCTTCTGGGGGCTCTGTCCTTCCGCCTTCCTCCCTCGTCCCTCCTCCCTCCCTGCCTCTTTTCTTCCTCCCTCCCCTCCTACCTCCCCTCCCTCCTCCCTCCTTCCTCTTTTCTCCCTTCCCTCCTCCCCTGGACAGAGCCTCACTATGTAGCCCAGGCTAGCATGGACCTGTGCACCTGACAGTTAATTTTTAATTCTTTTTCCCTCTCTAGGAAAAAGAGGCAGTAGGGAGCTCAATGTGGACATGTTTATCTCCTCGGATTATCTAAGGTCTAATAAAAATGAATGTCAGTAATTCTACCTGAGATTTACTTGCTCATTTTGATTGCTATTATATCATTTCTGAAAAATAAACTTGACAACAATACATGCCAGGGATGTGGCAGCAAAGGAGAGCAGTCATTTTCTTCCACCGTGGACACTTCCAACTGGCATGGAATGTCTGATTTCTCACTTGTAAAGTTAAGGATGACATCAAAAGACGCCACTTTCTGCCTCCGCTACCTAAGACTCTTGGACGCAATGTGTTATGAGATACCACACTGTTTCTATGGGGGCTGACAGGCATCTGTGTGCTGCCATCATCTAAGGAAAGAAAAGCTAATTCTGAGAGAGTTAAGTATGTAGATCTTTTCTCCCATTTTTTTAAGGTGATTTAAGTAAGAGTCATACTCTTCCTTCTAGAGTAAATTCCGAGCTTCATTTCTGACAGAAATCATGTTAGCAGCAATCGGAGTATCTAAATACGTATAAAAAGACGAATGATAGCAAACTATGGATAAAATTCTAGGTGAGACACATTCGCATATAAGATAAAGACTCATTACAGTACCTTCCAGCAAACATGGTTTCTGCCTGAGCCGCAATCTCGTCAATGTCAGGGACAATAGCTGTGAAGATAACACAAAAAGTCTTCATTTTGTTTTAATTCATGTTCATAGTCGTTTACTTGAAGATGTTTTTTATTTTCATACTTTTTGTGACACCAAATGTTAACAGTTCAGAAAATTACAATATAGTTCCACTTAAATCAGTGTGATGGTGCTTTGTCAACTAGACACAATGTAGAATCACCTAGGAAAACACTTCAATGAGGAATATTGGGTTAGGATGTCGAGGGCTGTCTTGATTACTAATGTTCATTGATGTGGGAAGATCCAGCCCACCATGGGTGGCACCATTCCCTAGGCAGGAGGTCCTGAGCTGTACACAAGTCAAGCAGAGCACAAGCGGGCAAGCATGTGCGCATTGACTTCTCTCTCATCCTGGTTGTGGACACATGACCCTTTCTCTCAAGGGCATGTTCTGTGACTTCCCTGTGATGATGGGCCATAACCTGGAAACAGAGACTGAAACAAACCCCTTTCTCCCCTAAATTGCTTTTTATTGGAGTATTTTATCACAGCAAACTGGAACAAACTTGAACATCTTAACTGAAGTTCCTGCATGCGTGTGTATATATTCAGATGCTGAATATGAATCCAGGCTGCAAATGTACTATCTCCCCCTTTAATACTTTAATATAAGCTGTGCTTACATTACATATACCATGCTTACATTACTGCCATCAAATGGATCAACAGCCATCTTTACAAAGGTGCTCTGATTTATAGGTGTATGTATGTGTGTATTTGATATGTCAAACACATGTGTGTATTCCTACACAAACACACACACAGGGCGCACTAGCGATGGCACGGGAGAGCAATCGGCTCCACCAGAGAGAGGAGTTTCCGGGGTGCCTTTAACCTCTGCTTGTGTGCTTTACCGACACTCAGAGCGCATGTTGCCAGAAGTCTGGCTTCTGGGAGTCAATAACCGTTACGTTTCTGTCAATGCGGCCGCCAGCATGACTTTCTGGTCCTGCCTGACTGTTCCTGGAAACAGCCCTTTGGGGTTCCGCACTTCTGGGAAACAGCGGTGCTGTTTCTGCAGGGGTGTCAGGAGTGGCTCCTTGCCTGCCTGGAATGGTGGCTGCTGGTCTGCAGGGAAGGCTGGCTGCAGAGCAGGGGCAGGGGCGGGTGGTGAGGCAGCAGTCGGGCCCCATTGTCATCCACGAGCACTCGGGGAACTGTTCTTGTCTGACTGGTTGGAGAGGGAGGTGGCTCCTAACGCTGTTCAGGACTTTCCCATCTATACACAACTGCCAGCCTCAGAAGAGCTTTGTTAACTGGCTGGCTGTCCTAAGATGTAGTTGACAGCCCACCAGGACTGACCTGGACCAACCAGGAGAAAGGTGAGTTAATATCTCTGTCTTCACAAAGTCCTTTCTACAGCCTCAAAATTTTATGGCCATTCTTTATGCTCTTTCGGGTTGTGTTTCAAGTCTCAGAAACATTTAGATTTTTAAGCATGAGGTAGGATTCCAAAGCAAAGACACCAGGCCCTAGCACCACCACAGGCAAGCCTTCAGGGCCCTTCCTCTTTGTTCTCAGGCTAACCATGGCTTCCCCCAAAATGCCTTCTCAGCTGCACTTGACACTGCTCTTTGATCCAGGCATGAACACTGTTCTCAGATTTTCACCAAAAGAACAGAATGTGCAAAGGATTCAGACTCTGCAGCTGAAGAGGTCTCAGGGGTCTGGGGCTTTGATGACTTGGTAGCCCTGGCTGTCAACCTGCCTGAGTTTAGATCACCATGGAAACACCCTGGCTGCCCCTGTGAGGATGTTTCCAGGAAGGTTTGACTGAGGTGGGAAGATCCCCCTGAATGTGGGTGGCACCCCAAGGGCTAGAGTCCTGTACTGAAAAGGTCAGAGTGGGCAGAGCACCAGCACCCACCTTTCCCCGCCTCCTGACTGTGGAGACGCGTGTCACGCCGCACTGCCCCGCCCCTTGCTGCCCCTTCCACACTGAACTGGCTCCTCAAACAAGTCAACATAAAACCTCTTCTTTAATTGCTTTTGTCACAGCAACAGTGACTGATCTTCCCAGTCACCACCCCCCACCCGGCTTTCATCATCAGGAAATGCATAACAGCAACTCTGCCTGCCACAGCAGGGGCAGCTTCTGGACAGGCGCATTGGACGCAGTGCCAAATTCAGCAAATTCCCAGTTTCAACTGGCAGAGACTGTCATCTTCTAACACAGAAATACTTTTGTTTTAAGATAGATATGAAAGGTGCTTGGGGTCTTTAAAGCAGAATGCAAAAATCAAGGATCACGAAGAAGCTTTATGGCAAGCCATTATTTTGTAAGCTAATTTAAATACAAACATACGCACACATGCATATATATACAACACATGCATGTATACATGTGTATATATACATGCACATATATACATGCATGTATGCATACACATATATGTGGTGGTATTTTACTTGTACTGAGATGTGATTTTAATTGTATGTTAATAAAGTTGCCTGGGGGTCAGAGCTATTAGAGCCATAGCAAGTGCGTGGGGGCGGTGGCACACGCCTTTAAGGACCTGGAGGGCGGTACATACAGGCAGTGACGAGGCAGTCACGTGTTTGGGTTTACAACCAATGAGAAGGCAGAACAGCTAGACTATATAAAGACACACACAGGAAGTAGGTCCCTTTCGGAGAGCTCTCTTGACTGAAGAGGATCGCTGAAGCAGGAAGGGTGAGGCTCTTAGCTCTGACCTCTTGGCTTTCTTCTCTGAATCGACTCTGTGTTTCTTATTTAATAAGATGGTTGGTTACATCTACACATATATGTATATATACATGTATTACGCACACATCTATATACACATATGCATATATGCATACATGTATATATACATGTATGCATACACATATATACATGTGTGCATGCATACACACATGTGTATATACATATCTGTCTACACATACATATATACACACACATATATACAGACAACACACATGTACACATACACACATATATGTATGTACATATGTAATTTGAACAGAATGAGTAGACAGTGCTACTTCTAGAAAACACGGGTTATTAAATTAAAATCTCAGTGCAAGGCACAGACTACCTCCCCGTGAGTGGCTGATCCATGAGAGCAACCCCAGGGCCCAAACAACATACATTATTGTTTGCTCTTGGCTGCCCCAAAACTAAACGGCTGAAGACACCAGAGAAACCAACTCCACAGAGCAGGATGCTGGCTCTCCGGCGGGCCAGCCTCCAGGAGCCGAAAGGTACGGTGCAGGGAGAAAACACTGCAAGTCCCACCTAGTGCTGGACCCTGCACGCTGCAACCTGACATGCTGGCAGGGGAGGATGGGTGTGGGGCAACCAGCACCGTTTGATTGGACGGAGGATGCACAGCAGGAGGAAGACCACAGGCCCTCTCCTGGAACCCACTGCTGTTTACTAAATGCCTGTGCTGCCGGAAAGCTTTCTAAATGTTTACGTTTATCTTTTTTAATTTATTCTTCTTTTTAATTTTTCGAGACAGTTTTTTAAATCTTTTAAAAAGTATTTTATATTTGAAATTATAATATAATCATATCACAATTCACTTTCCCTCAAAGCCCTTCTATATATTCTTCCTTTGGTCTCTTCCAAATTCACAGCTTCTTTATTCATTAACTGTTTTTACTAGTTGTTTCCATTTCCCTATGTTCTCATCCCCCACTCCTCGCCCTATACCACCCCACCCCACTCCCAGTCTGCTCATGCAGATCTCATCCACTTCTCCTTCACTGGGCCATCCATGTGTCCCTCCTAGGGTCCCTCCAGCCAGTCTCTCTGGAGCTGTGGGTTGCAGTCTGGCCATCCCTTGCCTCACATCTAGTATCCACTTATCAGCTGATAAACTCCTTCAGTAAGGTGGCAGGATACAAGATTAACTAAAAAAAAAATCAGTAGCTCTCCTATATACAAATGACAAAAGTGCTGAGAAAGAAATCAGAGAAACATCACCCTTTACAATAGCCACAAATATATAATATAAAATACCTTAGGGTAACTCTAACTAAGCAAATGAAAGACCTGTATGATAAGAACTTTAAGTCTCCGAAGAAAGAAATTGAAGAGGATGTCAGAAAATGGAAAGATCTCCCATGCTCATGGATAGGTAGAATCAACATAGTAAAAATAGCAATCTTACCAAAAGTAATCTACAGATTCAATGCAATCCCCATCAAAATTCCAACACAATTCTTCACAGCCCTTGAAAGAACAATACTTAACTTTACATGGAAAAAAAAAACCCAGGATAGCTAAAAGAATCCTGTACAATAAAACAATCTCTGGAGGCATGATGATTCCTTACATCAAGATCTACTAAAGAGCTACAGTAATAAAAACAGCTTGATACTGGCATAAAAACCATCATGTGGACCAATGGAATTGAATGGAAGACTCTGACATTAATACACACATCTATGAACATATGATTTTCGACAAAGAAGCCAAAACTATACAATGGAAAAAAGAAAGCATCTTCAACAAATGGTGCTGGCACAAATGGATGTCAACATGTAGAAGATTGCAAATAGATCCATATCTGTCACTATGCACAAAATGTGGTGGCAAGAGTTTCCACCTAAAAACTGAGAAAAAAGATTCTAAAACGGAGCTAAAAACAGTTCCTAATTGTCTCTCTCAAATGAGCGGCAGCTGCCGGTTTGAGCTACTTGTGGGTTGCGTGCGCGCTCGACCTGCTGTATGGCGGGAGTGGGGCCTTTAAAAGTGGCACTTTGAGCTGCATGGTGGATTTAGCCTTTGCTAGTACAAAACAAAAAAAGGAGGTTTCTGGGCTACACGCTGCTTGGATAAAAGCATAGACCCACGATAACGATAGCTCCCAGAGCTGGCGGTAAACCACCGCCATGTTGGGAAGCTGAGGTGGGCAGAGCCAGCAGCCACAGCTGCTGCAGTTTAAAGCAATAGAGTCACAATAAGACAGATTCAGATGTAATAGTTTAAAATGTGTGTAAAATATACGTAGGCTTGAAAGAGATTAAAAAGGTGATATATACAGTTACAGAAACAAATACATCGTTTTAAAAAATAAAGTCTTTAAAGAGACAGTAAAATTAATATAAAAAATAAGCCACGTAAAGATGAATATTACACAGCAAATCTGGATTGTGTTGTCTTTGGGATTTTTAACTGCAGAAAAACATTTGATTGTAAAAGCTGTTGAGTTATGCCAAAATGTATATTTTAAAGGTACCTTGACTTCAAAATTTGGATATAAGGATATGTTGCTTTGGAAAAGAGTTTCTGCTTTTGTTCCCACAGAAAGCCAGAGGCTATGGATTTGTTCCAGATTAAGATACATCAGGTTTGACCAGCCAAGACCCCCTGAAAGGTCTCCGATGACACCATGGCCCAGATGATCCAACATCCAGAACCGTTTCAAGGCGACTGGCTCAGATGATACACCCTCAGGGACTACTCCATAATCCTAAAATTTTCTTTCTATCCCCATAAGATACAGCGCCCCCCTCCAGCAGGAAGTAGTAAGAGAAGCTACGCCCAAATTCCCAAATTATATGTAATTTTACTTTGTTAAGGTTAAAACCTTCCTTTTTGAAAAAAAAAGGGGGGGGAGTGCTGTGGGATGTTCTGTATGGCAAATGTGTTGCTGATTAGTCAATAAATAAAACACTGATTGGCCATTGGCTAGGCAGGAAGTGTAGGCAGGACAAGGAGGAGAATAAAGCTGGAAAGTGGAAGGCTAAGTCAGAGAGACACTGCCAGCCGCCATGATGAGAAACAGCATGTAAAGATGCCGGTAAGCCACGAGCCATGTGGCAAGGTATAGATTAATGGAAATGGATTAATTTAAGCTGTAAGAACAGTTAGCAAGAAGCCTGCCATGGCCATACAGTTTGTAACCAATATAAGTCTCTGTGTTTACTTGGTCGGGTTTGAGATGCTGCGGGACTGGCGGGTGACAGAGATTTGTCCTGACTGTGGGCCAGGCAGGAAAACTCTAGCTACACTCAAGTCCAAGTGGATCAAAGACCTCACCATAAATCCAGTTACACTGAACTTGATAGAAGAGAAAGTAGGAAGTAGTCTTGAACGCATTGGCACCGGAGATCACTTCCTAAATATAACACCAGTAGCACAGACACTGAGAGCAACAATTAATAAATGGGACCTCTTGAAACTAAGATGCTTTTGTAGGGCAAAGGACACAGTCAATAAGACAAAAAGACAGCCTACAGAATGGGAAAAGATCTTCACCAACCCCACATCTGACAGAGGGCTGATCTCCAGAATATATAAAGAACTCAAAAAGCTAGACTTCAAAATACTAAACAATCCAATTAAAAAATGGGCTACAGAGCTAAACAGAGAATTCTCAACAGAAGAATCTCAAATGGCTGAAAGGCATTTAAGGAATTGCTTAACATCCTTAGTCATCAGGGAAATGCAAATCAAAATGACTCTGAGATACCATCTTACACCTGTCAGAATGGCTGAGATCAAAAACACTGAAGACAGCTTATGCTGGAGAGGATGTGGAGAAGGTGGGAATGTAAACTTGTACAGCCAACCTACATCAGCAAGACCTGAACATCCCAGTACAGAAGAAACAGAAGAAATGTTTACGTTTACATGCAGAGATCTGTGCTGCTCTCAGCTGTGGTCAGAGAAGCTTCTTTTTGCGTGGGTGATGGTCAGTGCAGAGAACTGGTGGAATACGGGGTCTATAACCCTGAGTGCTCAGCTGGGGATGGGTCATCTCTAACCTCCCACAGTCCCAGGTGCAGGGAACCTCACAGATGACGGGCAGAGAGAGTGTAAGAGTCCGTAGACGGGGAGGAGTGCTGTGGGATGCTGGTGTTAGGCACGGCACGGCTGGTGCACACACCGACTCACAGCAGCCGAGGTCACCTCCACAAGACCAGCCCAGTGTGGTATCTAGCGTGGATATTGGTGGGTTGACCGTGCCCCAGTGAATGGCCACACACCCATGTTCATGTGGGCGGCCCTAACTGGATCCCAGGGTTGTCAATGATACAAACAGGGGAGGGAGGCAGGTGGGGGAGGGAGGGAGCTGGTGATGGATGGAGATGGTCGAAATACATTCTATAAATACATGGAACTTCCAAGGAGTAACAAGTATTATTTAGGATAATTTTAAAAGACACAGAATGCAAACGATAAACACTGTCGCAAAGGTACCTGACGGCAGCAGCGTGTCCGGGGAGCCGCTGGCAGAGGCGTCACCGTTGTCGCTGTTCTCCCCAAATTCCTTCTTGTATATGGACAGCATGTACGAGATCCGGTAATCCAGCCTGACGCTCAGGATGAACTGGAAGAGTTAACACGGCAAACTCAGTCCCATTAGCGCGTACTGAAAGACGCCACCGTTCTGCTAAGATGGCACAGCCGTCCGCACAGCACGTACACACGCCACAGGCTGGGGAAAGGGCTCAGTGGTAAAGCCCTCGCCAAGAAAGCCTGGGAACCGGGTTCATCCCCAGAACTCATGAAAAGTAAAAGAACCAGCTCCACAAAGTTGACCTCTGCCCTCCACAGCAAACACTGTCATACATGTGACCTCCATACAAACACTGTCATACACGTGACCTCCACAGAGAACACTGTCATACATGTGACCTCATACATGATATAATGAATTTTTAATGCAAGTCATGGCACACACCAGCCACAGTGCTGTCAATCTCCCAAATGAGCCAATTGGAGATCTTATTTGTAAACTACAAACTCTCACTTGTTGACCATTTTTGTCAGTTTTAAAATGAAGGAAACGGATATGTTTTCGTTGGTCAGTAATAATGAAAGCCCACAATTAATTAATTAATTTGTGATTGCATTTTTTTCTTTTTTTGGTTGTTTATTTTAGTTGGTTGGTTGGTTTTGAGACAGGGTCTCCTGTAGCCCAGGTTGGCCTCAAACTCCCCATGTAGCAGAGGATACCCTTGAACTCCTTCTGTTCCTCCTCTCAAGAGCTTGGATTGCAGATGTGTGCCACCATACCTGGTCTACATCGAGTTTTAGAACCAAGAAAACCTGACGCCCCACAACTGCTCTCTGGATACTCCATGTAGGGGCATCTTATGGGTCTAGAGAGGTAATGCTGATAGGATCCCAGACACACGGGCAATCTCCTTTGCTGAGAGGAAAATGCTGGAGCTGCTTTTGTGCACAGAAAGGCTGGGCTTCAACTATAGCAGAGTTGATCCAGTCCTAACATCTGCCCAGAAGCCAGGCCAGCCAGATGGCTGCAATGCTGGGTCCTGGGTTTCTCCACTGTGCTCCTGTCTCCTTGGATTTCTGTTATCATCATCTCAGTGGCTGATGTTGGACAGTAATGAAGTAGCCCTTCAGGCCCAGGCTCTGCTGGCGGCCTTGGGGAACCCAACATTGCCTGGAAGGAGCAAGTATCTGCCTGAGAGAACAAGGGACCACTCTGTTAGGAAGTGGCATGCAGGAGGCTGAGGCACAGGACCAGAGTGGATCGTCAGGAGGGTGTGCTGTGGATTCTAGTTGCCTTCCTGGCAACTAGCCTGTGATAAGCCTGATTTTCTGAGCACAGCTATTACCAGTGTCCCACACTCTCAAAGGGCCTCCTTCCTGGAACAGTAAACACTATGGTAGCCCAGGCTTTAGAAAAGCTGCCTCCTATGTTCTGTTTGTTTCCATGGCCCACCCTTCCTCCCCAGGCCCCGCCCCCCCTTCAGTGCTCAGATTCCTCTGTCCCAGGTCACTGCATCACACACGATTCCTGTTGCATCCTCACGTCTGTTCAGAGTCCACTGCACCTTCATTCTCTTCTCTACCCACAAGAGCAAGCTCTCAAGACACTGAACGTGTGCATATGATGCTTCTTATGATTCCAAGGCCAGGATCTGGATCTATCTCTCTCTCTCTCTCTCTCTCTCTCTCTCTCTCTCTCTCTCTCTCTCTCTCTCTCTCCCTTATCTTTATCCTTTCTGACTTCCCCCTTCCTTTTCCCCCCACCTCTCCCTCCATCTCTGCCCATCTTCTCCCCCACGCTTTGAAGGTCTTTCTGCTGCATCTGGATGGATGCAAGCTCATATCAGCTACTCTTTGTTAAGTTTATCCGCATTTGCTAGTCAGGTTGTGAGGAAGATGGTGTGGAAAAGGTGCCTACAGGACTGGGGACATGCTGCTCTTACAGGAGACTCCCAGCACCCAGCTCAGATGGCACACAACCACCTGTAACTCCAGCTCCAAGGGATCCAATGCTCTCTTCTGGCTTCTGTGGGGACCTGCATTCATGTGCACATACCTCCCTCACACACATACACACATGCACACAGAAATTAAAAACACTTTTTAATATAACATTTGAAGGTAGCCAGGTTGTAAACGTGATTCTTGAGGAGTATAAAGTCCAGAAGTAAGGACAAACCTCACAGTGACTCTTTTATTAACCTGCTGTGACTATGACACACACTGGATAAAGAGACTCCAGTGAATGGGCATTTATAGGGTGTAGGGCAGAGCAACATTGGGAACAGTAGACTAAGGAAGGGCCTAGGGCTTGGCCCTGAAGCAGGACAGCAGAGACAGAGCTAGGCTATGGGTGCTTAACACGCAAGGTTTTGTTTTTTTTTTAATTCAAGTGCCCAAAGGGCGGGGGAGAGAATTCAATGTGAACCACTAATGAAGCATTCACCTCTGTTGGAGATGAGTGCTCACAGAATCTCATTTCACAACCTTTGCTCCTCTAACTTGTCCAATCATGAAGATGCAGATACAGTGTAAGATAAAGAGGCAGAAAACAAGGCAGAGAAAAGGCTAAGCATGGTGGCTCACACCAATAATCCCAGCATCCTCAGCACTTGGGGGTGCTGAGGCAGGAGGATTCCCATGAGTTCAAGAGCAGCCTAAGTTCCATAGTGAGCTCTGGGCTTGTCAGGGCTACAGAATGAACATTGCCTTAAAAAAAATAAAAATAAATTCAAAAATATGTAAAGGTGGAGAGATTAAATAAGGTCAGAGGGTAATAATAAAACAATGCTCACTGAAAAACCTGTTCTTAAATGAGGTAAAGAGGGGAGGCCCCTGAGGAGGGAGAGCTGGCAGAGAGCCAGCAGCAGCCTGAGTGTGGCCACCGAGGACTTGTTGAATGTTCTCAGAAGGCAGCAGGTTGGCAGCATCACACTGTGGTACAGGAGATCCTGGGTGGATAGTCAGGCAGCAATAGAGGCTCAGAGAGACTTCTTCAAGTGCTGGGAGGAGGCGCAGTGAGGCTGCAGCCGCCCAGCACCACCTCCCACTGGCCCTGTAAGAGACCGTTGCTGAAGCCACAGCTGACAAAGGGATCACACGCATCGGGGTCATCCACCATGCTACGAGGGGTGAGCTGAACTGAGGGCCCCTTCAGTCCCTTTCTCAGATCCCGGATAAGAGCATGACATGAGTGTTCAAGGCCATGAACACAGGGTGGGGAAGCCTGCCAACATTTCTTAGGACTCGGCCTTTGGAAACCCTGGAGGAACTGGGAAATGCTTTATGATTATAAATCTAATTACTTGGAATGAAAAATGCACGGAGCGTTCCAGGACTGCTGACCTACTTCTGGTAGCTCAGTCTACGTTAGATGATGACGAAAGATTTGGGAAACTCTTTTCACATTCTTAAGATAGTCTTGAAAGCTACAGGCTCCATTCTCCGACTCTGTAATAAATGCTATAACAAAGGTAGCATAAGCCTGCTTCTCAGACTTACCTCAAAATTAAAATGCTAGAAATCATAGAAGGGTCTGGTACACAAAATAACTGAGCTCATTAAATTGATAACGTTAAGTATTAAACTTGGCTAATGTGAAAAAAAACATCCCCAGGTCCTTAGAAAAACAAAGAGAGGTAATTGTGTAAAGTAATAAAATCAGCATTAACAAGTTTGTTAATTAATGATGGGGGCAGTGAAGCAGGGTCTTTCTTTATTGCTCAGGCTGGCCTTGAACTCACAGAAATCTTCCTGCCTCAACCTCCTCAGTGCTAGAATTACAGGAGTATACCAATGTGTGTGACATAAAATTTTTGAGTTTTCTGTAACAACAGGAAATCTGAATACATGGGATTCACAAACATGTTTCAAGCAATTAAAAACAGAAAATGATTAGAATTCCATCATTAAATATGCATGCTTTAAAAATCTTTCTTAAATGAAGAAAATATTCAATCAGGGTCAATACTAGCTGATAATAAACACACAGGAAAGCAATTTTATCACCCTCAGAGCACTCTACAATTGGGAGGCATCAGTAGTGTACTTCGTGGGACAAAACAACAGGTAAGTGTGGAGAGGAGAATTGATTGCCAGCTCTGCTCTTCACTTAAAAACCATAGTAAAATGGGGCAATGGCTTCTCAGAATAAAATGAGACCAGTAGCATTTCAGAATCACATTACACCAATAGCATTTCAATATATTTACACAGCAAAACCAGATACAGTGCCTAACATCTGGAATCTCAGTGCTCAGAAAGCTAAGGCAGGAGGATTGATGCAAGTTTCACGTGATTCTGTGCTACACACACACACACACACACACACACACACACACACACACACACACGCAGACACAGACACACACACAGAGACACACATACACACATACACACACACACACACACACACACACACACACACACACACACACCCCAAAGCTTAAGTGAAGCCAGTGTCAAGCCACAGGACACACCTGTAGGATCTCGATGACCTTCAGCTTGGTGTCCATCACTGTCACATCCTCCTGCTCCCCGGGGCTCGCCTGCTTGCTGAGGTGCATGCTGGGCTGAGCATCAGGCACACTCACGGGGAAGATGGAGCCTCTGCTGAGTACCATCTGTGTCATCATCTCTCCCACCCCGTGGATGGTCCTCATGACGTTGTTGCCTAGCACGAGAAGAGGGCTCAGTCAACACACGCAAAACATGGTGGCCACAGCTTCAGCACAGATCATTGATGTCATTATGAGGACTTGGCTGCATTCTCCACACCCACATGTAACTGGCTGCATCTTGGGGATTTCTAAGTTTCCATTCATTTTATAAAAGCTGGGATGTAGCAGTTTGAAGGGTGGTGGGGGTCACCATGCTGTAGAATGGTTTGACAAACCAGAAAAAGAAATGGTTTTATCTCTAAGAGACAGCAAGTTAATCGTGGGCAAACAAAGACTGTGATCAAGTCCCTATAAGCAAATTAATAAGGTTCTCTTTGCTCTCTTATAAAATGTTTCAACCCTAAAGTTTAAAATCTAGAGGACGGTACCTGTCACTCTCTGTGAAGGGCTGGGGCAGGAGGATGGCTGGAGTCCAGAAGCTCTAGGCCAGCCTGGGAAACATAACAAGAGCCTGCTTCAACAGCAAAGAGGGTTTAGAATCCAAAGAGCACAAGCCTCCTTTGGAGGCTCAGAGGAACCCTAAATTCACCCTGTGGTTTCTCGGACTATCACTGGCTCTCATCATCGCTTTACACGTGCCTTAAGCAAACGATGAAGATACAGGACTCCGCCTGCACAGAGCCTTCCATCGCTCTGTAAACACCTTGTGAGGGTCACCCACGAGAACTGTTCCAATGGTTTTAGTTGGTTGTTTTGTTTTGTTTTTTAAGAGAGACTTGGAGATCGTCTGAATTGGTTCAAAACACTAAAGCCGAGCTCTTCCCTTGTGCCCATGAAAGTAAGCTGTGAAACCTTCTGACATCAGGGTCAGCAGACCCAGCCAAGGGATATTTCTCAACAGGCCTCCCATGAAGGGTCAGAAGCGTACTTACACATGTGCGGGCCACCAATGCTGATGTGGTTTCCCTACATCTCAAACCACCTTTCTTTTCTTTGGGTCCGATAAACGCCATTGAACCACATCCTTAGGGAGAGGGCTTGGAGTCTGTCTGCCCCGGGATAAAGTGTCAAACACATGGTTTTAGTAATTGCCAACACTTCAGGGTGGTGGGAAGGTCCTGGTTGGGTACCAAGAGTGCACAAACTGTCAGATGCCTTATTCCAGCATCTTTCCTTGCTACTCAGACAAGGGCTTTAGGCTTTCATAACACAAAAAGAGCTTGGAAGTTGGTTAAAGGTAAACAACCTCTTGTCTGGTGGGGGCGGGGGGAGCCTGAATTCTCAAATTAGCGTTTGTTCACTTATATCCTGAACCCAAGAAGGACATTATTATCTGTGGTCATTATAGAAACAGATGACAAGCACAAACACGTCCACTGAGGAGTCGCTGCCTGTCACTCCCTCTGAGTTTGACTTTTCCTCGATGTTCTCCATCCACACTACAGCACAGTCTGCAGCACGCCCCCTCGTCAGTCAAGGGAGCACCTGCCACTCTCACGACCTAGGCTGCGTCTTGTCTCCTCCAATAAGCAACTGGACTCAAAAGAACACTTGTCAACTTTCCTTTGCAGACACTGGTCTTGGCTTCTTGGGTGTTCATGAAATTCTGCTTGAAGTAAAGACCTCAGCATCTGGCAAAGAATGTTCCAGAAATGCAGAGAGTGTAAGCCAAGAGGAAAGGGAATAAAAATGAAACGCAGGGCAACAGAACTCCAAGTGATAAAAGAATGTAAACTGTGAGAATGCTCACAAGATTAAGATGCAAATAATAAATTTTAAAAAATTAAAGATGGCTAAAAAGAATGTGCATGGACCAGAGGGCAATGAGCAATGCTAGCTATACACAAGGACACTGTGAAAAGGTGGAGCCGCTTTGAATTTATCACCTTCTCCAAATGCACAGCTGGCTGAGATAATAAAGGAAAACATTCCAGTAACATGATTTAGAGTGCATGGAACACTGGCCATTTATCTGACGGGTATATCCCAGGCACAAATAAACTTGGGTTTTAATTTTGAAGTCCTGGGAACTGTTTGTTATATGGCTACTTAGATAACAAAAGGGGGGTGGATTTAAAAAATTACAGAAAAGGAATTTCCAAGGTTGGACAAAGGTGGATGCAGCTTGAGGGTATGAGAGCCCTCTGCTTTCGGTTAGAATAATCCCAAGGCAGAGGCTCCACTGTCCAGGACTCTCAAACAACCCCAACCATTGCTCCCAAATCACTGCACAGCCCACATCTTGGCAAGGTGCTGCAGATGTGCTGGTGGCCCCAGGCAATGACAGTTTTAAGTCACTGGGGCCACCCAGTACCTTTACCTCACTGCTGAGTATGCTTACGGGCTAGCCTCCAACGGATGCCTTTTCACGCTAATGAAGAACAGGCTCCTTTGTTAACCTTGCCCCTGGCTCACACAGAAATCCGAGGCACCCACAGTGTCTGAATCTTACTTAGATGTGCATGGAAAATAACCATTTAATCAAATGATTATTATAAAGAAGGCTAGCCTAGACAATTCTTTCCCCCAAACATAGATCCTGTCACCCACAAATTAAAATCCAGAGGCCAAAAACATTCTAATGTGTAACACATGTAGTCAGGAAGATAGGAGGGTGTGTTCCCATCCTCCCAGATCCTCACATGCCTGTGGCAAGTGGACGACAGAATTCCCCTGGCATTTCCATGTATGGCCAACTCAGAGGCCTCCAATTCAAAGATGCTGCATTTTTCACTTGTGATGAGAAATGTTAATGCCATGAACTTCTGCAGCTTAAAAAAACACCAGCCCAACCTGTACAAATCACAGGCACACAGACAGTGTGTCCCATGTCCACTGAGCAAATCACAAATGTGCAGGAAGTTCCATATCCATTTACCACAGGGGAATTTCTAATTATAGACTTTGGAGACAAGTCCAAGGTGACCAGTCCTCAATGTTGCAAAAGAATTCTCACTACTTCTCAACCATAATTAAGTAACATTTACAGCTTTTCAGTTAAGGTGTTAACACATAATCTTTTAATTCTCTGGAAAATTGACACCCTAGAATTCCAATTTTTTTTACTAATTAACTCAACATCAAGAATTTGAACTGATACAGTGTGTTGAGAGATTTGAGAAAATGGAAATCATCATTGTTAGGTTAAAAACAAAAACCATCAGGTGTGGCGGTGCACGCCTTTAGAGGTATGTGAGTCTCTGTGAGTTCAAGGCTAGCCTGCTCTACATAGTGATTCCAGGACAGCCAGGACTATGTAGAGACCCTGTAAGAAAGAAAGAAAGAAAGAAAGAAAGAAAGAAAGAAAGAAAGAAAGAAAGAGAGAGAGAGAGAGAGAGAGAGAGAGAGAGAGAGAGAGAGAGAGAGAGAGAAAGAGAGAAAAAGAGAGAGAGAGAAAGAGAGAAAGAGAGAGAGGAAGGAAGGAAGGAAAGTGGGAAGGAAGGAAAGTGGGAAGGAGGGAAGTGCATAGGAAGGCAGACCCCTGATTCCTTGAGAGAAATCAGAGGGTCGTTTGGGAAGACAATTGTTTTTATTATCCCAGTGGGCCAAGTGTCTCATCAATTTCAGAAGAGTGGAAAGCGATGAGAAAGTTGTGTAACACTGAAGCTGCACAAACTAAAAGTTTTCTGTCTTATGAATCACTCCACAGGGGCAGGATCGCGACTCACAATTGGGTTTGACAATTATTAACATGTGGATGTCGAGGATGCATGAGACTTGACAGAACTGGAATTTGTCCACAGCTAGCTTGTATTTTAAGTCCTCTTTGTGTGTTAGCCACCTAACGAGGGAGTCTCAATGGAAGGAGGATTGCCCTGATCAGATTGGCCTGTGGAATTTGTCTCTATTGTTGACTGATGTGGGAGGGCCCAGCCCACGGTGGGTGACACCATTCCTAGGCCAGTGGGCCTGGGCTGTATAAGAAAGCTAGGTGAGCAAGCCAGCAAGCAGTGTTCCTCCATGGTTCCTGCTTGAGTTCCTGCCCTGACTTCCCTTAGTGACTACTAAGACCTGGAAGTGTGAAACAAAATAAACCCCCTCCTCCCCAACCTGCCCATGTCAGAGCGTTCTACACAGCAGCAGAAAGGACTTGAGGGCCTCATCATCCACCATCTCTGGATATCAAGTGGACGACTTGGGAGGAAATCATTTCCCATCCCCTACACTAGAGACCTGAAAGGATTTCACAGCACATAGCCAAGCTCCACCTCTCATCACTGTCAAACACTGACATTCCAGTATTCGGAACCTCGGGATTTTAGTCTGCAAAACTGATCGTTAATTCTTCCCAGCTGGCCAGATGAGCCATGCATGGGTTCAGTATTGCTCTGTGACTGGGAGGTAACTTAGAGCATCGGATGTGAGGTATGCGGGGATCTCACAAAAGTGCATGCACGCATACACCATATGCCATCCAGACTTGAACATTCCATCACCCAGAGTGCTCCCTCATGCGCCGTTAGAGTCAGTCTCCGTCTCCCAAAGTTCTCCCCACCAAACACCAAAGCAACTGTCCTGTGGGTTCTCATATCATGCATGCACACATAAGGTGCCATTTAAGTTTTTCTTGTTTAACTTTTCAGGTGTGGGGGAATATATGCTCCATATATAAATGGAATTACACACACACACACACACACACACACACACACACACACACACATACACACACACACACACGCACACACACATTATAGTATATATTATAATGTGTGTGTGCGTGTGTGTGAGGAGCAGTGCCTAGACCCACTTCTTTCACCCCCAGCAGCTTCAGAGGCATCAGGATCTCCTCACAGCTTCAGAGACAGGAGTAAACTCCCCCGTGTGCAGCTGAGGAAATGCTTCACACCACTGTGTACTGGCTAATTTAGCAGGGAGTGGGGGGGGGGGGGGCTCAAATCTACATGTGGTGTTGTTTGCTTCTGACATATCTCATAGTAACAGATGAATCTTGAGTGAATCTTCCATATCTGTTGAGTCAAAATGATTGAAAAGTATTAAAAATTTCTGTCCAGTGATTATGGGCAACCACTGACTGAGAGAGCTATAAAGA